ATACCACAGAGTCCGACACATCTGTTTCATATTTGGATATTTTACTTGAAAAAGACGTTAATGGTAATCTAACAACCAAGCTTTATGATAAACGTGATGACTTTAACTTTTCAATCGTCAACTTCCCTTATTTATGCAGCAATATACCTTCATCACCTGCATACGGGGTATATATCTCTCAGTTGATTCGATACGCAAGAGCATGCTCTACGTATGTACATTTTCTAAAATGAGGTAAATTATTGACAAATAAGTTGATGAAACAAGAATATCAGCTGTCTCGTCTAAAGTCATCATTTCGTAAGTTCTATGGTCGATACAATGACCTTGTCAGCAAATACAATTTATCATTGAGTCAAATGCTGACTGACGTTTTTCATACTAATTGTTAGGCCATTATTTACACACTGAATTGTCGACGGATTTTTCCGTTATTTCCCGATCATGACAAGGAGCACACGGCGGGTGTGACCGGTCGGGAGGGGATGCTCACTCCTCCATGGCACCTGATCCCACCTCTGATGTTTGGAGGTCTGTATTTGCTCTGCTCCTATTTTGTATTGTATAATGGACTTTTGAGCTTGAATACTGTTCGTTATCTCCATATATTTCATTTTGGTTGAGTGGGCTTAGTTCAAACCCATAATGCAAAATTGTAGCACTTCGTATAAAAGAACTTCGTCCATCACATTATTCCCAAAACGGAACATTCTGTATGTAAATAGAACGACTTTAGGCAAACTGATAATGTTAAATCTGTTTTGTGCGCTCCACGCCTGTAATATATCAGAGTTCACTGGAAAGTTCTGGTATGACGGTGGGGACGTCTATTTCTGGAGCCTTGATATATTATTACGTCATTTGACTGAGGACCTAGTGACTCTTCAATGTAGCCGGTGTTTGTTCAGACACAAAGATTTCCAGATAACGACTGTACTAAAAGAGGGACGCTGATCGACGGAATTTATTGACAGCAGAGAAATCTATCCCGGACACCCGAAAGTTTCAATTTTGACACACTGTGTTAACCTGAAAAAAGTTGATTTTCAATTTCCTGTGTTCAGTGACGCTTTCTGGTCCATTTCCTATAAGTCGGCGACTTTAATTTACGGTTTAAAGAACTATGCCCTAAAACAAAGGAGATATTTGTCGATTTGAGAAAGACTAAACGTAAATGACGTATATTTCATCTTGAATAGTAGAAAGATTAAAAATAATAATAACTTTTTTATTGAAGTGCTCAATTCTATTTATATTCATGGACCCTAGAAAAAAGTTGATATCGCTTTTGTTGCGAATTATGATACTTGAAGCAAGATCGATGTGGTTTCCCCTGATTGTAATTGGTTATCAATACACAGCCGTTGGCGATTTGTTTACCCACCAGTCTCTTGTGGAATTCCTACAGGATCTGCGCAATGTTATCTTGCTGCGTGTTTATAACGCGGCTAAACTTCTTGTAATATCTTTGAAGGAGTTTGAACTTCTTCAGTATAAATCACCATTTGGTAATAAATCTTGCGTACAATTAGCTGCTGTTAAAATTTACACTAAATCTTACCTACAGAGAAGTATAAATGGCCGATACATAGCGGACTCCTTGATCAATACAATTAGTTTCCTTTTTACCGATTTCGACACTTCTCCCCTCTCTAAAGTTAAATCTTTCTCATAAGTCGTGTTTTTATCCTTACCTAGGTTGCTAATGGATGTGCTTCGGTTTTAGAGAAATTTTATCTGTAAGTGATAATACGTTAAGTTTTTGTTGTATTCACACAATGTGATATTGTGATGGAAATGAGGTATCAAATGCAAATGAAGATAACAGTCCTACTCAGACAATGAACTGTCTACGTTGCTCATTAACCCCTTAATTACCGAAGAGAGAAACAATTTTCACAGCAATGTATCCATTGTATTCATAAAAAAATGAAGAAAATTGCTTGTTAAACGACACCGTGGTTTCATTGTTTTCCGCTTAATTGTTGATAGACCTGTGAATTGAAAGGATATATAAGATTACAAAGTATTTTCAACTGAGAATTAGAAAAACAAAATATGCGACCTAAAATATCAGTTTGTATTTAAAATCTATTCCAGGAAGCCTTGGTTCCAGTCTGCAGAATAGTGCGTCTCTGAGTGGCATTGATTTTACAATTGATCTTCTGAATAACATTTACATGTTATTGTTGACCTGTGCAAACTATAGAAACATTCTATATCCGACAAAAAAAAAACAAACAAAAAAGACAAACAAAACAAAAAACAAAACAAAACAAACAAAAACAAACAAACAAAAACCAAAAAAAAAACAAAAACAAAAACAAACAAACAAAAACAAAAACCAGAAACGAAAACAAAAAAAGGGGAAAAACAGTCAAAAACAACAATACCAAACAAAACGAAACAAAAAAATTAATAAACAAAATACAAAAACAAATCTTAAACAAATGTTGACGAACTTTATTTTCTCCACATTTTTTTTTCTTCCGTCAAGCACTGCTGCAGACAATTGTTACTGAAACGTTTGAACGGATCCTTCTAAAATCTGTTTCATCTGTACATTAAGTTATTATATCCTGTGTCTGTTTGACTTTGATAAAAGTTTTCCTAAACGTTTCTTAGACATAATCTCCGCTTTAACATGTGTTTGTCGATTTTATGAGAACATTTACAAGTTTCTTGAGTAAAACAATCGACATAATTATTTTGGATAAAATGCGATGATGAAATTGATTATAACGTTCTTCTCTCTCTCGTGCTTGTTCTATAACTCTCAAATATTCAAAAAGAAATGTAAATAATCGATTAAGAAAGTGACTGCTGGATGCAACACTTCATCTTAAGCATATCTTGATTTACTTCAATTCTTTGATGGTATTTTATAAAAATGATTTTTGTTTCAGAAGATTATGGTAATATCATACACATAAAAAGTCAGGATATTTATCTCTTCTATTCTTCCTTCCGCTGTTATACTGCAATATGCACATTTTTGTTTTTAAAATTCTATTTTATTGTTAATGGACTGCTACATCATTGCATTTGTCTTTTCTCTGTCCCAATAAGGGAAATATTATAGCATTTAGCATTTTTCAGTGATCTCCGTATAACGATGTAATTTTTAGGTTTTTATTGAAATTTCTCATTGAACCAACACGACTGAAACACGCTGTCTGTAAACCGATAACATCCTGTCGTTGACAAACTGACATCACCGGCATTTTTTAAATTGATCTTTTGGTTTACAATCGTTGTCTCTTGTTTGATATGGAGAAAGAAGTTCTCTCTTTCCATTTTCTTTCTTCATTACCATGATTTAGGAGTCCTTAAGAGTTTTCGCAAGTCAGCTCATTATCTGAGAAAACGTGCCCAGAAACACAAACACGTGGGAGACAAGTTACTTCTTCCCGAGTGCTTTTTCCCCCTGAAAATGATTGATAATACGAAAGTCTCTATTAACTATCAAACGCATAAATGCCATGTTGAAATTCCTGATAAAATGCTAAATACAAATTCATTGTAATTCTTGTCACATTTCAGCTATCGATTTAGAACTTAAATCTACTCACATTTGCATTTGAGTGATTCTACGTTCCAGTGTTGGCTTATGATGAAAAACAGGATCCCAGGCGGGTGTTTAGTAAATGGTCCAAATTACATATGTCATTTAGACTACTTATATTTTTTAAACAGTATTAAGATAAATGAGGTAAGGATATCTATCAATCTGATTTTTTTAAAATCTAAGTGTTTGGTCGTACCTGGTGTAGAATTTTCAACTGAGACTACAAAACCATGTAAGTTGACAAGTCGTGACGTGTGAGATTACTATTGTGCAAATACTAGAATGGATATGAGTGTTGGCTAACAGTAATAAAAGCAAATGTCAAAAAAGAATCCTTATTTAATTAAAAGAAATATCATTTGGAGAGAAAGCTCAAATTAAACTGACTGTATGGAATATTTTCTTTCACACGAAGCATAATAAACACCATCACAGTTTGATGTTAATAATTATTATCTGTCATAGATAGTGTATGACCTTGATACTTTAACCATGTGTACATTAGTGTATGAAGTTGACATAATTGACCAAAAATATATGTAGAGTATATTTTCATGTTTTTAAATTAAGTTCTCTTTTTGCGCATTTATTTTTGATGTGTCTTTCCTAAGACAATTTGTGAACATGTTTAATGGTACTTGCTATGAGTGCCCCTAACTTGTAACATTGATACTGTATTCTGCAAGATTTTAAAACTTTTTGGACCGCCTGTCTTTGCGTTTTCTTTCTGGTGTTGAATCGTTTGGTTTTTTTCTTTTTTGGCATTGTGTCGCATTTTGAAGCACTTTTTTTATAAGCATGTTACTGCCTATCCTACGTAAAGAATTTTTTCTTTTTTATGGCCATTGAAAAATTAAAATTCCTACAAATAAAATATTCGTCAGAATATTGTTTCGTCGTGCAATGGTCATGGATTGTTAATATGTACAATGACAATAGATTTTTAATAATAAATATGTGAGTAAAACTTTTTTATTCTCACTAGTTTTATTGCTTGAAGTTACAATGTAATTGTTATACCCTTTTTATTCAGTTGTTATACCCTTTTTATTCAGAACCGTGATTGTACAGCTTAATATTAACTTTTAAAATGTCACTGTGTTTTTCAAAGACACAATTTTTTACTGTTTCCATTTTTTTTCAAAGCGCACAATTCGTTCAATTGGAAATAGCGCCCGAGAGTGCTTAAATTCTATAGTATCGAACCGGAGCTAAGAGTCAGTTGTGATTCGTTCTGATTGTATATACAGACAGTTATACATTGGTCACACCAAACATCAGACGCAGGGGATCCCCAGCAGTGGTTCAGTATTGTGATGTTCTGTAGATATACTGTTGTAAAGCCTGAATTCCCGCTCGTCCCGACATGGAGCTGTACATGTTGACAAGACGTACTGATCCAGCAGAACATTAGTACATGCTTGTTTACTGATGATAGAGATTTGACGAAATAAGTCTCTGTTAGTACTCACGCGAATAGAATTTGAAATCAATAGCGATTTTTGCCGTGATATGCATATAATGACAAGCAGGCAGATGATTCCACGTCCCTGCGTTATGAAAGGTTCAATACAAATTTAACTATTGGATTGTGATCGCAGACTTCAGTCGTGTAGTTTCCCTTCAAAGAGTATGAACCCTCCCTTGGTATCGGACTAAGTGGTCTTATTGTTCCAAACATTGTCCTCGGACTGTCGGTGATTGGAAAAACATGTCCTTAATACCCTGTTATCCCACTAACGGACCACGAACCTCATTTACCATTCTTGGGAAATTTTAATTATACTCCTCTTTCGAATGTTTACTGATGTTCTCTGACGGTTTGCAGAACTGCCATTCTCTGGGGATTTATTTTAACAGACTGTCGCATGGTGCCATGTGAATGGATTACGTCTGATGTACCCTTCTTTGGGACAGTGACCCAGCACCATGGAAATGTTCTCTCTTATTAAAAGCTCCCTAGCGTCTGAGGACGCCAATCCCATCCACCGGCTCTACAGGGTGGGGCAACAGGTGGGGACAGGTGGACAGGAAATGTTGTGGCGGATACATGAAGCAGAAAGCATTGAAGAAGAAAAGGTGAGTGTGGCCATCTCTTTTTCATAAATGTCTGCGGAAGAAAACACCAACAAAGTTTACTTTGTCTCCTCAATCCCTTGAACCCTTTTTTTTAAATATAGAATTTTCTGTATAATCATCTTATCATTTGCAATCACATCTAATGTAAATGTAAGAATATATTGATACTTTAAAGACTCAAGAAATGATGTTTAAATTATCCAAGTTATACCTTTATAAACACTTTATTTAGTTAGTCAAGCCATTGTATTGATATAGTACTGTTCTAAGATAAAAACGTTATAAACAGGGATTTTATGGGAGAGATTCGTCTGAGTGTTGCATTACGTCAGTGTGATCAAACCCCATATAGAATGAAGCTCTCGATATAGTGGCTCAATTTGAGATCAAAATTAAGATATCATTTTGCAGCCTGTTTGGATTCGTCATGCTATTACATTTTTATTGCATGTTTTGTTCTACTTTACTCTGAAGATTTATCTTCAAAGACAACAATTAACAAATGCTTGAAGTAAAGTGATGAGCATGGAATGCCAGAGCGAATTCTGTAACATCCGCTGTGACAGAAACTTCAGTGTCTAGATTAAACAAATGCATTACTCATCTCCAACTCATAAAAAAGTGTTAAAATTCATTCATGACAACAAGGCATAGTTACGGTGAAATATTTAACTTATCATCAATTGATTTCTTTTCGTTAGTTCTACAGGTTTTATCTTTATATCTGCTCTCCTATTCTCATCAATACAATCAGTGCTGAAATCGCTCTCTGATACTCTTGACCTAGGCGTTGACCACAAAAACAAGGAAAACAATATTTTTATAGAATGTAAAGGCAATATTTTCTCCTGAAAAATTAGATAAATGATATTAGGGAACTGAACTTCCACTAACTGAACTGATTTCTAAGAAATAAAATGGAAACTGGATGCCGTTTTAAATTGACGCGTGTTCGATTCGCCGGAAATAATGCCAGAATAACGATGTTAAACCACGTCAACCACGTGTAATTACAGTGCAGTCAATAAACGAATCTCTCATAAAAATCTCCTTAATATGTGGCCTAAGAATTTGAGATCCGCCTTATTTATTCACATCGTTGAATAAACTCTCGAAAATTTAACACCACTGAATAATTAGGTGATAGTAGTGAAACAGATGATCACAAAATAGGCTCTGATAAAATGAAGAAAATTTATTTATATCATTGAAAAGTTTTAAACAGCTTTCTCTGTGCGCTGTGTGAATTTGGTAACTCTATCAACATTCTGCCCCTACTTGGAAACGTATGATTCCTTCGTATGATTTTTCCGTGAAGATATTTTCAGTGTTTTATGCGGGCAGCAATCACAATCGCCGTTTTCAATTACAAAGCAACGCTGTAATTAGACTTTAAATATGGTTCATCAACTTTTGCAATTGCAGAGAAGAATACGAAGACACGCGAATCATTGCGTTCCGTCAATTTAGTGGTCAGTGGAAGTTCATTTACTTAGTCTCTTACTGGACAAATGGAAACGCACTTTTATGGCACGAGACGCATATTAAGGTAGAGCTTTGAAAAGTACTGGTATTTTTCATTGGCAAACATTGATACTGGGCTCTGTTACGCACTGGACCCTAGGGATGAAGCGGTTTTTGAAAAAGTGGACATACCGATTATATCGGTGATATATAACCTAAGAAAGGTAGCTTGTGCTTGAATAAATGCTGATCTCGTAGCAATAACGAGCTTTGTAAAGCACCGGATGCATAGCGGTAAAAAGCTTTGCATTGATTGGTTGTTTGTAGTTTTATGTCCCTTGCAAGATTATTTCATTCATATGAGATGTCACTGGATGCCGGTGAAGGGCCTCAAATTTAGACCTATACTTGGCATTAAGGGCCTTTGAGCAGCTCTCTACTGAGCTACGGTGATGGTAAAGCTTTGTAAGGCACTGGGCGGCGTATAGCGGTAAAAGCTTTGTAAAGTATAGAGCAGTAATAGGAGCCTTATAAAGCACTGGGCGCAGAGTAGTAAGGAGCTTTATAAAGCACTGAGCGGATTTGTTTGTTTGTTTGTTTAACGTCCTTTTCGAGAATTTTTCACTCATATCGAGACGCCACCACTTGCCGGTGGAGGGCTGCAATTTAGACCTATATACTCGGCATTTAGGGCCATTGAGCAGTGAGGGATCTTTATCGTGTCAGCACCTACTGCGACACGGGACCTCGGTTTATTCGGTCTCACCGAAGGACCGGTCTCCACGTCCCGCAGTGGGATTCGAACCCGCGACGTAAGGATCAACTCTGAGCGGATTTGTAAAGCACTGGACGCATAGCAGTAAAGAGCTTTGTTAAACAGTGAACGCATACCGGTTAGCTTTGTAAAGCTTGACGTTTAACGGTGAAGAGGTTTGTAAAGCACTCGACACATAGTTTTAACGAGCTTTGTAAGAAGTGGTTATTGCTGTAAAGGGCTTTGCAAAGCACTGGACGCATAGCGGTAAAGAACTTTGTAAAGCACTGAACGCATAGCAGTAAAGAACTTTGTAAAGCACTGGACGCATAGTGGTAAAGAACGTTATAAAGCACTGGTACTGAACGCATAGCGGTAAAGAACTTTGTAAAGTACTGAACACATAGCGGTAATGAACGTTGTAAAGCGCTGGACGCATAGCGACAGCTAGCTCTTTAAAGAGGGAACACAAAGGGATAAAGATGTTATCAAGCATAGGATGCAGGTCAATTAAAATCTGTAAGGTACATTAAGAATGCATAGCCTTGAAACTACGAATAGGTGCCTTACGATGTGTGACCAAAAAAAGTATTGTTAAGTAACTTGGTCCATAACCTTAATGATCTCTGTAGAGCACTGGTTACCTAATAGTGATGAGCTTTGGAAAGCATTGTGCGCATACCGATACAGTTCTTTCTAATTTAGCGTTGGAAACCCTATGCAGAGAGCTTTGCAAAGCTGAATATATTTATCAGTGTGGACTTTTTAAAACTATAAAACACTGGTTACATGTAGGTGAAGATCTTTTAAAAGTAATTCAAGTTGGATTGCGATACAGGGCTCTGTGACGTTCTGGACGTATAAAAATATACGAAGAATTGAAGTGCATAGAGTCTTGTACTGCTTTGCATGAATAACAATGCTAAATTTTGTAAATCAGTTGGCGCATAGCGATAAGCATTATAACGTAAAAGTTGCACATGTATCGATGATGAACTTTGTAAAGAACAAAACGCATGATAATGCGCTCTGTAAAGCACATGGACGGAGAGCGAGGTAAATCTGAATTCTATTGACCAAGGCTGAAACTAAACGTTCTACATATTGTTGTTTATAGTAAATGAAAGTCAGAAGGACATGGGTATAATTTACAGTTCAATATTCGTGTTCGTCATATGCTTAGAAATTATTTTCTCCTGCCATATTCATGTCATTAATATTCGGCTAATCTCTTCCCGAGAGATATTTTAATTCTTGGTTGGTCACAGGAAGTCGATAATGTCCGATGTTATTTATAAACTTTCTCAGACACGCACCGTAATACTAATACACAGCATGGTCCAATCGACAAGTCGAAACAACTATGCAAGTATATAGCTATTTATTTAATAATAATCTTTGTTTGAGGCTTTGAAGCTTGACAATTACAAATCATTCACGAAAGAAACTGGGTGGAAATTGTGTTAACGATATCTGTGTTATGAACTCATAATTCATTAGGGATATTCTAATGAATGGTATTTATGAAAATTTCCACAGAATATATTGATATGTAGAATAACGAAGTGGCCCATTGAGTATGTTTAGTTGCCGAAAAAAGGCTTTGAATTTCAAACATCAATTTACGCTATTCTCATAGTGTGAAGATGAAGGAAAAATTATCTGAAAGTCTCAGAAAAACAGAGATCAATCAAATTACAATCAAAAGTCACTAGAAATATTTCTTATGTTGGAAATCAAAAGAGAGTGACTTTCGCTGAGTTCTGTTATTTTATACATGCTCACAGCACAGAATTAATTGGCGTTATTAAGTAAATCGTAGGCCATTCTGGATATCTTAAGTGGTTTACTAAATCAGCAGTCTCACAATAGCTTCACTTCCGTTTCCTGTCTGGTAACGACATATTGGATAATGGCGGAGGTTAACCACCATATTCCGGAATTAATATGGCTGTTGATCCCGAGGTCAAATCTTTCACTGAATTTGCTCAGAGTTCCTCACATAAATCATGTAAATCGTTTTTGTTTCTCTCAAACGTTAATTATGCTGTATATGCGTCCTCAAAGGATCAGAGTATGTCTAATTTCATCGACGACTATATATGGAAAGTGTAATTCATCATTCTTAGTTTAAGTCCTAATTATTTCTTAGTGAAAGAAGATTTTATCATGAAAATAAGAGAGCCATATTTTCAAATTTTGAACAAGGAATATTACTGAGTTTAGCTGATGAATAAGTTTGAAGGTTTGATTTGTGCAAGAAAAAACAACAATTTGTAAGTAAATGTTTAAGGGCGATTAAGGGACTTATAATGCATCCAGAGTATAAAAGTCCATTACAATGCATCAATAATAATAACTACTTGAGTTCATGGTGGCAAATTTAAGGAATATTGTATTATACGGACAGTATTTTTTATATCATCTTTAGATTTAGATATCAAATCTTGAAATTTTATATATTGTATTTCAATTTTCCAAACTATCATTAGATATTGAAGAAAAAGAAAAATAGATATTGAAGAAGAAGAAGAAATCAGAAAAAGGAAGAAAAATACTTTGTGTTTATTTATTTACAATGAAGTCGACGTCAAGGGAAATCTTACCAAGGACAATTTCACAACTAGCTTCGAATTCCTCATTTACTGGTCGACATTGAATTTTTATCAGAGGGACACCGGGGACGATTTGAGCTCAAACTACAAACATTGTTCATATCACTGTTTTCAACATTGGTTTTCTATTTTTTATTAAACAAAAAACCTTAAGATCTTGAAATTCG